AATGAAATACTGACAGAGTTCAAATGATACTGAATTAATTTTGTTTAAAGAGGTTACTAAAATATGACTGTAAAGAAAGCAGCAGTTGTAGTTTCTCTCACACACACACACACACGCTATTATAAATGTCCTTATTGTCTGAACAGAGGGTCAAAGGCTTCCTGCATCTGAGAAAATCTCCTTATATACCTTATATGCTGCTGTCAAGTTACCACAAAGAATGACTTCACATCATGTCAGAGCTTAGTCGGCTATATAGCATAAACCTCGGCCTGCGCAACTGATGACTTCATTTCACCGTGAATATTCTCGGGGATGATATTCAGCAGGAGCCTATATGACTTCAATGTCATAAAAGTTCATTTAATTTGTCCCCCAACCGTATAAGAAGCAATGAAATAGGAGGAAGCGCAGAGAAGCATGCAGCTGATAGCAGAGGTGTGACAAAATGAGACATAAATTATAGATCATCATAACCCCTCGTTGACAAGAACAGACATAAAAGATGTAGAATGTCTATTTTAACACTAGTTGTTTAAATCATTTTAAAACGTAGATTTTAAAAGTGGTAAAGCTCTGTTGATTGTACGCGTGAAAATCAAGTTATAAGAAAGCAGCTGCTGCAAATGGTACGCTACCCAACCCAATTCTGAATTCTGAATGTTTATTTAGTTAGAAGTGCAGTATTACATTTTCAGGAGTGTTGTAAATATGGGCCTTGGTTTTTATTGCATGGTGTTACAGCATACAGGGGTGAATATACATTCAAAGCTGTGGTCTACCTCCCCTGATGAAACATTTGGCCACATTAACAACTAGAATGGCCCTCAGAGAGCATATACCTCCACCAAGGCTTAACAGTCCCCTTATGAACCCATATTAAATTCACTAGATCCAGACTTTTATTTGGATGTGCACCAAATTTTACACACATACATTAATATCCATCCCCTATACATGCCTGTTTTATCACATAAAGAACACTGTATCTCACAATGTTTTTACAAGTGAAAAAGAATTCCTGAGTCCCCCTGATTTGGATACGCACCAATATGAACAGTTTTATTCATAATCCTGCAAACTAAATTACAAACAAATGCCAATGAAGACATAACTTCTTAAGTGGAGGTAACAAGGCTGTAAATGCAGTGTATTTATATCAATGTACATTAAAAAAGTATTACGTCTAGAAAATGAAGAACGTCAGTGATCAAGGTTTTTTCATCCATTGTCAAGTGTCAAACTTGTAGCCCTCAGATTACTAATCTGAGCACGGGTGTAGGGAAAAGTCAGTAAACATAAACATCATTTTCTTCATTCTAAAAAAATCAGAGGAAAGGTAATGTTAATTACCTTACCTTAATTCTGTTACTTACATCTTTAAAAAAAAGTACAACTCAATTTGAAGCCTGCTGCACCTTGTGCAAGAAAATGCTCAGATTAGGTATAAAGGCATTATAGTCACATGGGAAGTCATCAAATCTTAAATCTGCCATAAAAAACCAACAGCAAACGCACACACACACATTATCTCGTCACATCCAGTTGGATGTGAATAAAGGACTTTATTGGGATTTACAGTAATTCTGAGACTTCATATCCTTTTTTTGCCAGCGTGGATGTGAAATAAGCCTTAAATTGAATTAATAATGTTCTTGAAAAGTCTTAAATGTAGCTTGTTGGGACCTACAGAACCCCCTAAAGCTGAAGCACAGTAGTGTGAGAGTATAAATTTTACTTCACTACATCTGTTTTTTAGTTTAATATTTTTCATCTGCACAACACTGACATGTGTTCTTTTTTTCCCTTTTATTTTCTTTTCATGCTCTGAGGATGTTATGCAGAGACAGGTCACTGTGCTGCACTCCTCTTGACAGTCATATAAGAGTCAGAGCTTAACTCTAAACAATTTTAAACTTTCCATAAACTTTAAATAGTTCCTCCTGAGGTATATAACATATTGACAGAAAGTCTTAGACCCTGAAGATAAACATTCAGCTTCAGTTTGGCTCGATCAGTCTTCCTCACTGGAGACTCTGGATGCTTTTGGAGGGGATTCAGCCTTGTCATGGAGTGATGGTACTGAACAAGACCGTACTTCAATTTCTGGAGATTTGCCCATGCCGGGGTTTATTGTGGCTGTTCGAGTGATGTAAGACTTACCCAAGGATGAATACAACATAGCAGAGGAAAAACAGTGTGGGTGTTCTGTTTTTAAATGCCACCTAAAAGCCTTAAGGGGCTTACTGTCATTGTTTTTGAACATAGGTAGTATTCTCTTGCCAATTTATTTTCTTTAGTCTACTGTGTTTTTTGATACAACACTAGACACTGTAATTGAAAGAAACATTAAATTGTTGTTCTTAACTCTGGTAGCACTGTGGCTGACAGGGTGTTAATTGAGAAATATCTCAACAACTCATAGATGTACTGACATGGATTTTAGTTTCAGACATTCATAGTGAATTCAAATGAATGACTATTTGGTTGACTATCTACTGCACAATTTCTTACAATAACTGCTTTTAGACATGCACTGAACTCTGGATAATCTCTGCAAGGGCTGTATGTGTGAATGCAAATTTCCAAGTGAGAGCCTCTGGACTTTTTCGGGACGTTTTCCTGTCTGCCCTCGAGTAGGAGTCTGTCTGAATGAACCGATCATCCACAGAATTCACTGTGAGTGGAGTTGCCGTGATGTTTCACACGTGAGAGACACAGAACAAATAAAAAGAATACAGATAGCTAGAGGAAAAAGAGGAACCATACATGCAGAGGACACCTGTGAAGATTTCAAGACAGCTTTTAGTTGTGCCGACCTCGATGTCAATGTGCTGTAAAACAAAAATTAGATTTCTGCAACGGAATTAATATGGTACGTCCTGCCGCTGCCTGCTCGACCCCTCACCTGAATGCTCCAGGGAGTTCTGTGTTGTTGTGAACACCTCTGAGCTGACGGCAAGTATATTCTGGAGTTCATGTCTGAAAATGGCTATAGATTGTGAGTATAAGAGTGTGGTGATCAAACATGTCTGAATGGACAGTTGCTGAGTTTTATGATGCCTTGTCCTCACTCAGCCACCTCACTTTACCTTGAGGTTTTTTTAATGGAAACTGCCTAAAAACATAAAATTTGACTCATGCTTTACAAGGGGCTTTGTTGGAGAGTCTTCAGGTAAAACAAAAGTCCAAAAAAATTACAAAATATCAGCAAATTCAAAATAAACATTGAGAACATAACATAACACCTGAGGTACAAAAAATCGGAGAAATGCAGGCCACGTCTCGAAGGTGGTTGAACTCTGAGTAGTGTTCTGTTTTTGGGAGCCTGCAGGTCCAGACAGGCTCAAAAGAGAAGGCAGGAGCTGGAGGGAGACAGTTAAACACTCACCCTGTTGTTATGTTTGTCTGTGCTCCTGTTGAAACACAAGGTGTAGTTAGCCTTCGGGGTTCGATGTTTTTTTAAAGCTTACGTTACTGGTTTACGTTGTGAAATGCTATTTCACCTCAGAGAAATCCTTGGAGCGATGCGGTGACAGTTTAGACAAAGGAGATAATGAACATGCTCACTTAGTCCTCTTACATCGTACGTAGTTGTGAATCATTGGACATAATGAATGACCTTCTGCGCTCCACTGATTTGCTCTTGTTTTGGCCTCTGTCAGCGAGACAGGAGCCAAACCTGCCTAATCCCATTAAGAGACAAAGCGTTTTAAGCAGAAGCCTGTCCACCTCTGTCCACAGACCAGCCAGGCGTGACGGCCAGCGACAGCGGTGGCATTTCGATCTTTGAATGTGATGCCTCTGGCTTTTTCTCTCCTGCCCTTTTCCCCAGATCAAAACTTGTGGTTTTTGTTTGACAGGCACGTTTGGCCGCATCTTCCACGGCGTGCTGCTGGACGAGAAGGACCCCAGTAAGGAGAAGCAGGTCTTTGTGAAGACAGTAAAAGGTATGCGTTCTGTCCTGGTAATCAGTTGACTGCACAGTTGTCAAAGAAATGAAAATATTGTCAACTCGAGTGTTGTTAAGTTTTCCCATTTCTATTAATGTGCAACTCGCTCTGGGTTTCCTAAGAAGTGAGGTTTGGCAAAGTAAACACTGTCAATCTCAGTGAGCATCAATATGCTGAAACATGATTGTAATGCCAAAGACGTAAGAGGAATGACCAAGGTCAGTGGACTGAAACATAATGTAGCCAACAGTTCAGGCGACACTGTGTGGTTTTTTAATTTGATTTCAGTGATTTGATTTTTTTTGTTTGTTTTTGTGCTTCCAAGCCAGTACCAGCTGTAGTCGAGGAGCGATGTTTTAGGGTTGTCCGCCTGTCTCATTCTCATTAGCGTGATATTTCAGGAACCAATGAGGAAATGTCTTCAAATCTGGCACAAACATTCACTTGGATTCAAGGATGAACTGATTAGATTTGGATTGTCAAATGTGAAAGTCACTATGATATCACAAAGAACATAATACACCTTAACATCTTTTGTTCAAAGTACTTTAAAGTCTTCAGCGCATGTTTTTGTGTGTCTGTATATAATTCTGCCCATCCCATTCTCTCAGCAACACCTGGAGGGAATTTCTTCACATCTGGCACAAACATCCATTTGGACTCCAGGAGGAAATGATTAGAGTTTAGTGGTCAAAGATCACTTACTTTATAAAACTGTTTTTTTGGTCATAACTATAAAATAGACTTAGTACCTTTTATTAAATTCAAGCCTGGACAGACATGAATGTGAAGTCGGCAGGTTGGCTGAGGTGTACGACCACTGGGTGATTATTCTAGTTTGTTATGTTTTGTGAACACTGGTGTTGAGCACTTTAGGCTGTTAACCAAACATTGCCTATAAAAACAAGTGCTTCTCTAATGACTTCAGCAGATGTCCATACATTGTTTCAGTCCAGAACACTGATCTGATGGTAGATTAATTGCAAGTCTTACTCACGCTGCAGTTTTTGCACATTAGTGAAAGGCCTCCTCTATATGGGAGTGTCAGGTTGTTTGTTAGCGGCATGTGTCGGCTCTCTCTGCCAGTTGCCTTCTGACCTCTCGATTCTCATGTTTACTCAGGGAGGGGTGGATACCTCAGTGAGCAATATCCCTTTGCCAGTCTCGGCTTTGTTGAACTCTTTACTTCCTTCTCATGCTCCTTTTGGGAATACAACATGATGGCAAAGGGGCATTCACAGATTTAAAAACTGGCAAACCCAGTTTCCCACTAAAAATAACTGAGAAGAGGGATCTGTGCTGGGAAACAAGTAAAAAAAACACTACATGGAGTCACAGAGTTAATGCAACCTTACCTTTCCATCTGCTACTGCAAATCAGCAGCTATAAGGGACTTAAATCCAATTGTGTCTCTGAAAAAATGTGTAGATCATGCGTCTGAGGTGCAGGTGACCATGATGTTGACGGAAAGTTGCAAACTTCGTGGACTTCATCACAGGCAAGTGGAAGCACTCACAGAACACAGGAGGCTATTTGTGGTTTTGGGGCAGTTTGCTTTTATTTGATAAAAGAAACATATATCAAAATAGATATAATAATCTAACAAGACCATTTGGCCATTAAAGCCCCCAAACAGCAGTATTAACCTTTACCATGGCTATACGGTTGTCCACTTTTGAAACAGTTTGAGTGTTGAAAGTAGCCATAAAAGCTCTGGTTTAGTCAGAAGCCAACAGTGTTCCCTCAGAGCATTTCCTGTGGTCCTCTTCTAAATTAACGTTGATGAAAGACGACCACATTTTACATATGGAACAGATACTGTAACTGAGTTTGTTTATTTCTCAGAACCTGCTATACCTGCATAGCTTAACTGTTCTGTCTTCATGTGAAAAGGATGCTCCTTCCTCTTTTCCTCTTGCCTGTTAACATGTACTTTTGACTTCCATGAACCTGTTTGACATGCATCAAACTTCTACACGTGCTCCTGTTCCGTAATTGCTCTCGCTCTCTGCCCTCAGAAATCTGTTACCCATAAGTCATGTGTGTACGGAGGATGGAGAGAAGCCAATGGTGCTGTTGCCTTTCATGGCCTGGGGGAACCTCAAGCTATTCCTGCGGCAGTGCAAGTTAGCCGAGGCTAACAACCCACAGGTGAGGTTTTTAAATCAGAATACATTTTCTGGAGCTTTAAGGCACTTATTAAGCCTTTAGATAAATACCTCGATGCGAGCCATGTATGGCACCGACATTTATTGAGCTATTAAAATAAATCCCCCCCAAATTGGAAGAAAAGTCAGATTAAATCCAGTGTCAAGCCTGAAAGAGTGTTTTGTGTGTTGCAGCAATCAACAGCAAATACCACCTACCGGTTTACACTGTTATTAGAAGGACTGTTGAGATAATCATGAAGCCAGTGCTCAGGGCAGAGATTTTTATTCGCTATGTAAAGACAATCAGTCTTTTGTACAGGTTCACCCCAGGGAGTCTGATGTGCTTGGCAAAGACTCAGTGCAAATCCGACCAAATCCAAAATACAGATGCAGCAAACATTTTGCAATCACAAGATGAAGCTTGCCATCCATTTGCATTAATCAAACATCTTTATGAAGTTTCAGTTAACACATCAGCACCTTTGCTCTCTGCAATCTCATTATGTACTTTCTGGCACTTGTCAGAGTGAAAGACATAGTCATTAAGTTTCTGCTGGTGCAAGAAACGTGGAGCTATAAATCAGTATAGAGGAGATAAAACTGCGGAAAGCACAACACCACAGTGGGGCATTTGTTCAGAAAGTGAACATCTGGTTTGGAAGATAGAACTGGGGTGCTGAGAGGGCAGAACACGTGGTGAGTGTTGACCTTTCTACAGTTGTCTTTTTTTTTTTTTACTGTCAAACCAGTTACATCGTGCTCGACAGTCGAGTACAAGCTACACACTTCTCAAGTTGTTGACTTTAAAAGTTCTTATCTGAGTTCATTGGTTGCTAAGAGTTTGTTTTTCTGTGTTGTGAGGATTAATTCATTTAGGTTGTATCACACTGTCCACGCTTAGAAAAGATTAAACAACCAAAACAGTTCCACTTTGGGTTCTTCAGCCAGGGTACTTCAGCCAGGGTTCATGCAGCGGACTCCCTGTAGTAGATTGGATATGTAGAAAAATATCTTTTCTCAGACAAAGCTGCTGGCCACACTCATGTTTACATGGCTTTGAGAGCCTACAAGCATAAAAAGCAAGTTTCTCTAATGACAGATGAACCATGTCAGAACCATGTCAGTCAGATCATTCTCCCTCAGAAATATTAATGCTATGATTTTACATTTCAGTGCTGATGTCATCTGTTGCTCTTGTGCACTAGACCAAGAAACAAAACAAGCCTACAGACATGCTAGCAGCTCTGGGAGGCCGTGCTTTGGCACAGAAGGGGTTTAAGCTAATTTAGGGGTGGGGAACATTTTCTTCCTCTCAAGGACCATTTGAAATTTTATAACATCTTTCGTGGGCCATACTAAATCATTGAACGCATATATCACACCAACCTTTCTGATGCAAAAGCTGGAACTGTCATCTTTGCTTTGCGTCTGATGTGATGGGTATGGGGGTAGGGTAAGGTATGTTGATGCTACTCACAGCTGGTTTTAGCCAAAACAACTTTTTCAAGCAAATCGTCACCTTTTGTTGAGAAATTCCTCCCTCGTATCAAACCCGGCAGTGATCCCACAAATCACAAGTAGGTTACTTATCATGTCTGATTTTTTCATCACAGACCAGAGAGAAGAAACTCAATCATGATGATTGTCAGAGATGATACAAAACACATTGTTTCGTGTTTCGTTCACCCTGACTGTGACCTTATCTTGTACAGCCAGAAGGGACCAAAATGAAGTTCGTCCACTGGTTTGTGTCATTGTCTTCAATCACAGAAAAACTCAGGCGAGCGTAAACCTCTGTGAAGGCCCAACAGTTTCACACAGATATAAGGTCCCTAAATGTGCCAGATTCAAGATCCATGCTTAAAAAAATCTCAAATATCACGCTAGATTAAAGAACCTAAATGTAATGGGATCTTCCCACACCATGCCACATTCTTCTACCAAGTTTCTGGGAAATTCATTCAGTCGTGTACGCTTACAAGCGAAGAAACTGACACGGGTGAAAACATTATCTACTAGACAGAGGTAATTCATTGCAGTCATGACTATTTTTTGTACTTTTGATTATTTATGAATTGTCTGGTGGAGTAGATGATGCTGATGTCATAGCATGATTACCATGTTCACCAAACATGTCACTAAAAAGGTTTTGCACTTCAGCATGCTCACTTATATCCTAATTAGCACTAAGCACATACTTAGAGGGGGGTGGGGGGTCAAGGTTTTTTATTTCATCCTGTGGGGAGGGACATAAATGTCACCATGTTTTTATGGATGTTCATCCAATAAATTTTGATTTGTTTCACTTAAAAACTCAAATGTGAATCTCTTGGGGGCACTCCAGTCATGAGATCATCAACGTCATTAGAGTCCATGGTCACATGCTCACATCCATGGTTACGATGGATATTTGTAACAAATTGTATGGCAATCCATTAAACGCTTGTCATGATTAGTCAATGTCACTCTAAGAACCAAAGCTTTCAACCTGCTGTTGGCACTAACCGATATTACCCTTTCCTAAAGCGTCCTACGAGCAACTAGCATGGCTAAAAATAAGGGTGTCGTTGTTGTGTTTAAGTCAGTGAATTATTTGTTGTATAATCTCTTTTTTATATAATTGTGTAACAAATTTCCTCTAAAAATGTCCTTTTCCAGGGCACAAGTCTGTTCTGCTAGTTCAATTGACAATCTTTTCACTTGTATAGAAAAAATGTTCTTGCATATATGTAACTCCCATATTTGACACAAAATTGACTGATGACTATATTTAAAGGCAAATTAGAACAATTTAACACAGAATACCAATTTTGCTCCAGTTAAGTCACGTCAGCGGTTTCCTGCCCCCCTTCCCTTTTTTTGTTTTTCCTGCCTCTGTTTCTCAACTGAACACCATCTCTCCCTCCCTCTTTTCCTTTCAGGCAATCTCTCAACAAGACCTAGTGTACATGGCGATCCAGATTGCATGTGGAATGAGCTACCTGGCTCGCAGGGAGGTCATACACAAAGACCTCGCCGCCAGGAACTGCGTGTAAGTGTCCCTGGCCCGGCTCAACACTGTCGTCATTTGTCCTTTTCCTTCCTGTAGCATTAAGTTGATTTGGTTTGGAATTTAATTACAAAAAAAATAATACTTTTCCTACGGCTCCCCCCACTCCCCTTGCAGCATTGATGACAACATGCAGGTGAAGATTACAGACAATGCTCTTGCTCGGGACCTATTTCCCATGGATTACCACTGTCTCGGAGACAATGAGAACCGGCCCGTTCGCTGGATGGCCCTGGAAAGCTTGCTCAACAATGACTTCTCTAGTGCGAGTGATGTGGTAAGAAATAATATTAGATACACACTTTACTTCTTGCAGCTAAAGCCCTGCGATATACTTGCTGTTAACTACGCATATGCAGGATGGCTGCCCTGTGTATCCTGCATGTGTTTGGTGCATAGGTTATGCACAACCTCAATAATGAACACGAAGACGCATACGCAAGATGCAATAGCCACATTAAGGATGGGGCCGTAGCAAGTCTTTGACAGGGTCATTGGGCATGTCATCAGCAATAGAGATGGCAGTGCTGCATTTGCAGAACAGGAAAAGTTTTCCCCTTTCTGACTTGATCTTAACATTAGCGAAATGTTGATCCCCTTGAGTGCTGCCATCCTTGTTAATGTTTACTGCATGCAGTTATGAAACTAGCAGAAAGATTGGTCTGAGTCAAACATTATAGAAGGGAGCACACTACAATCTAGTCTGAGTTTTGTGGTGTGCTCTCAGCTAGAATCCTCCAGTAACACGCGTATATGCAATAATGTGAACAATAAATGTTCACACAGTTGACTACACATACAGAAGGTTAGACAGAAAATATATTCCAGACCTAAGGGTGCACCTCTAATCTGTATACAGTGTATTCACCACCAAAAAAGTAACATTTCCTGGTTCTCAAGGTTTTTAATAGATAAAATATTTCCAGGGGCCATAAAAAAGGAGCTGATACAGGAAATGGCACCAATTGTGTTCAAGCCGTTCTCAGACAGTTGGTCAAGGTATCAGAGGGAAGGGAGTAGCGGTGTTAAGCTCCATTAGTGTCCGGCTCTTCCCTCTTTCCTGTCTCAGGATAGCAGAGCACCGGAGACCCTCCCTGCACTTCCTCCAAAGGTTTCGTGTCACCAGATTAAAGGTTATGACACACTTACACAAGAGCAAGTAGCTCTTTTCCGGGATCCTTTGTTGTGGTCCGTTCGTAAGATAGTGACATAAACAGATTTATTTTACATAAGCATGTCCCCTAACAACAAGCGTAAGGTCGACACCTTCTCAAAGCCTAAGTGACCTAATGATGATGAAACTAACACTTGTTCACAAGAATGAGGAAGACCTTATTTTCTTTCTTCCCTTATGGGAGGTCAGAGTGTGGGTCAGTGCAGAGCGTGCAGGGTGGGCCCTCGCTGACACGGGAGTTTGGACCAACAGTCTCTTTACACATAACTGCCACTCGACTGTTTACTTTCATACCCTACAAAAACTTGCACTGATTATTTATGTTGCACATAAATTTTTCAACATAATTTCCTTGCATTGTTCCTGGGGAACATTTTGTATTTTAATGTAAACGGGCAACACACTCTGGATAGAAATGGTGATTATGTTTATCCTGTTGGATAATAACACATGTGAAACAACTGCTTGTAGATTATGTTTAGGAAATGCTGTCAATGAAAGTTAACGTTGGTATCAGCGCTAATCACATTTGTGTTTTCACAGTGGGCCTTCGGAGTGACCCTGTGGGAACTGATGACTCTGGGTCAGACCCCCTACGTGGACATTGACCCTTTTGAGATGTCGGCTTATCTGAAGGATGGGTACAGAATAGCACAACCAATCAACTGCCCAGATGAACTGTACGTTGATTCTCTCATTCTCACGCACACAGCGCTACATTTTTTATTTCCTGATTAATTGATTTCCTTAAAAAACTAAGATTTTAAATTGTGACCATTAACTTGCTACTCTATTGGTCAGTCCCAAATATTTTCAAATCTTGTCCAAAAGCTGTAAAATATTAAGCAAAGTTGATATAGTAAGTTTTATTTAGAAATGTTGACTTTGAGGCCAGCGTACCTTCATACTGGAAACATATTACAGATCAACATAGACAAAGTGTCTAGGTTGTCAGTTAATTAGGAACACCTTCCTAAAACTAATGCAGTCTAATACAACAGTCCTGTATTAAATCATTCCTCTAATTTCAATGTTCAGGTTTTGATGAAACAGTGTTAAAGAGATGCAGGTTGAACTGTATGATCGTCTTGGAGGATGTATTTCATGGTGTTTGGTTGAAGTGTTCCTATTATGAGGTTTCGCTCAGTATTCAAACTCTGGATCTGAGAAATATTTTCATTGAGAACTAGATCTGGAACAATTTGCAGATTAATTGATTAATCGTAATCATTATTAACCCAAACTTAAGTGTTAAAAATGTGATAATAGGTTGTAATTTTCCAACCAAACATAACATTCCACCTCTTCAAATTGTCAAGAATTAGCTTTCTTCATCTTATATTATTTACATTAAATATATTATATTACTACTTTATACAAACCTATTATATTTATATATGATCGTTTTTGAACTAGTGCTCATATAAAGCAGTTTGAAGGAAAGAGGGGTGTGTTTGTATAAAACATTTCAAGTTAATTTAAAGTGCCTTACATAAAAGATGATGCATGTTTCTTTGTCCTCTCATTTAATGTGGAATGCAAACTGATCTTACTGAGATCACTTTTATGCCATTTCAGTTGTAACCTGGACAAAGAAAAATATGAAACACAGGCAAGTCAGTCAATGAAGCACTATGAGGAACATGAACACACACACAATAAATCTTCTAAAATGAGTGCATGATAAAAGTCTTGAGAAGTAAAAGCCTTCAATAGCTCTTTCAAATTTTCAACTGACCAAATAGTATATTCTGACGGGTAGATTTTCTTGCTACTAAAGTATTAAGATATTATTTGTTAAATATATAAATAGTAAGTCTTTGTCTGCAGCCCATTATCAGTTACTGTTGTACCACATGTCCTTGTACATGACAGTTAAAATAATGGACATTTTATTTCTGCAGTGACTGAAGCATGTGTGTTTCGCTGCAGTCAACCTTGTTGTTGCAGACTTTGACCAAAAGTGGTTCCAGTGACACATTGTTATATAACGCAAGCTTAATCAAACTGAAATAATATGGAGCTTATCAACATCCTGCAACTGTCGAGAAGGAGTGACCAGTGTCCGCACACACGCACACACGCGCTTTCCCTCTACGACATTTTTATTAACAGACCTTCCTCTATATCAGGTTCACAGTGATGCTGTCACCGCCTAACTGCTGCAGAGTCACAGGGGGTTTCCAGGCCCAGAGCTCGGCTGCAGTGGGTTAACATTAACATGTTGTGCATGGCTGACTGAAATCACTGAGACATCAGTGACATATTTCATTAAGGCATTGTCTATAATACTGACATTGATAGACTTAGTTTTACAAAGAAATGATAAATGACCGGCATTGATTTTTATCAGTATTTATTTATTTTTAATATATTTCTTTTATTTGGACTGAACTCTGGGGCACATAGTTGATGATGGTTTAATTTGATTTATGATCATTTCTATTTCATTTACATTATATGCACCTGTTTGTTCATAACAGTCTTTTCCTCTGTTCTGTTGTCGATACACTGCTGAACCCAATGTGCCCTGAAACCCCTTTAGTTTGAACTCCTGCTGGATCTCTGCTGTCTTTAATTATGTTGCGATAAAACAGTATTTATTTTGCCTTCATTCCCAACGATCTGCATACACAGCAACAATCCTCGCTTCCTTTTTACAACTACACAAAACTTTCTGTGACAACCCCCTGTGTTGTTTAACTTTGAATTGCATGTTAGCAAGGTCATCCAATATAGTATTTTTTTTTCATGGAATATTGCTAAAATCTGTTTGTTTATGAGTTACAGAAATGCCAAATCTGTGAATCATGCTTTTATTTCCTCATGTTTAGTTTACGTTAATGGTCTCCTAACAAGGAGAATCCAGAAAATGATTCACGGTCTCCTCCAGATTGTAATGTACGCTGACAGAAACAGAGAAAAGAGACCGGTTTTCTCCCCTTTGAATGTTTTTACATTGGCTGGCAGCTTAGCACTCCCCTGCTTTTATAACACCCTCATGAAAAATGTTTAGTGCACACCTTTTGGATTTGACTTGAATGGTTTTAAATCTCCTCAAAAAACAAAGGGAATAATCACCTGGAATCTGTGAAATAACGAACATGGTTTCCTACTAAAACAATAGGTGATGACTTTCCAAATATTAAACATTTAAAGGATCGATTACATCTCACTCATATCAGTGCTGCAGGTGGCTCCTATTTCAGGACAATACAACAAAAACTGTCTGTAAATGTCACTCAATTAAATTGTCTATCCTCCGAGTTTGATGCCAGTGTCGCTCTCCCCACCCTCGTTGCTCGTTACCCTAAGTTGCTCATGGACAGACCTCTAACCTGACCCTTCTCCCTTGTGTTGCAGGTTTGCAGTGATGGCGTGTTGCTGGGCCCTGGACCCAGAGGAGAGGCCCAAGTTTCAGCAGCTGGTTCAGTGTCTCACAGAGTTCCATGCAGCATTGGGCGCTTACGTCTGAAAGCAAGCGTTTTTTTTCTTCTTCTTCAAGACAACGAGCAACATTAAAGGCTGGTGGACACTATTCATGAGGAATACACGGAGGAGATTGTGCCTTATCAGATGAACGAGCAGCGTGCGTCCATCCAACAAGTTTATTTTGTACAGTCATGGAGTTTTTATATAGTTGAATTACCTTTTTACAGCATAGCAAAGTAAAAGGATTCTTTGTTGAATATTGTTTTATATGCTTTGAAAGCGTCTAGGAATGGCAGTTATGGGGCTCCGCCCTCGCCAAGAGAAACGATGGAAAGATGTTGTCATCTATAACGAACATCAACACTTACGGACCTTTTTGTGCCAATGGAACATTTTTTTTAAAAAGATGTCAAGATCTTGACAAACATGGTTTTAAAGACAGTATTTTCTACAGTTTTGTTATTAGTGTAAATTGCAGATGTTTGAATGAGCGTGACTCTACAAAAGAACGATCTTAGGTACCAAAGTAGAGTTTAAGGGCTTCATTTGTGTATGGAACTGTGTTGTCGAGCGTGCAAGCTTGGTACGAGAGGCCCCCTCAATGGTACACTGTTTTCTCTGGATGACACTGAGCACTGTGCCACAGGCAAGTTTTTCTGTCTCCTGATGGACGAGCCGACACTCAGCAGAGACAACACTGTTTTTTACTCTGCAGCACGGGACAGATGTGTGGACGCCACAGCTTCTACAATATCAGCGCCACAAAGCTACATATTCATATTTTTTTTTAGAACAACATCCCGAGTGAACTTTGGACACCATTATTATTATTTGAATGCCACCATATTCTTCCTCTTTTGTACATTTTTATTTCCACTATCACATCATCCGAACAAAATTAACCTATCGTCATTGTTTTATAAGCTTGATTGTTCTGCGTCAGAACACAGCCCTTCACAGGACTCTTCAAATGATGTTTGTGAGTAACTAGAAAACTAATAATCACTGTGAACACTCACAAAACTGCCTACCAGCTTGGTCTAATCTTATTTTACCACCTTTAACATCTTTGTGATGTGTCTTTATGGTCACTGCATGTTGAATTAAGGTTGTAAACTGCTTCCCGAGTTCTTATCCAAAAATTAAATGGGATCTTTTAAATATAATAAGCCTACTTCATTTTTTTCCCCCCTTATCAAAAGCATACAGCGCATCAGTATCGTGCTGTTGCTGTGTAGTTAAAGTTCCTCTCCTGGCATTGATTAAACCCTTAAAAAAACATCCCATCCGTCCATTATCTATAGCGCTTATTATTTGAGGGTCATGGGGGAGCTGGAGACAATTCCAGCTGACATTGTGGGAGAGGCAGGGTTCACTCTGGTCATGTTGCCAGCGTGTCACAGAAAATCCAATCTCTCATTCTCCAAAATGCATATTTACAAAGAGATGTCTCCGATGGCCCTGATATAACTAACATAACCAACAACACACTGCTTCCCTGTGGATTTGACTCTTATTAAACACACAAACCTCTGCTCGTTTTCCGTTTTTGCAAGCTACTCAAAGCTGCACTGTGGTACGTGCTGATATAGGAGTAATTCAGACGTACAAGGTCGTCTACAAGTCAATGTTTCTGAATGGTAATGTATTTTATCCGTCGCTATCGACAACAAACATATCAATAATAGTTCGCTTGAGCCTTTAGGTTGATTACGTCATCAAACAGCTAATAATGTGTTGCTAGATTAACTTTGGTCCTGATCACCAGCTCTAGCTGAGATGGCTTAGCTTGTAGAATACCGATACTGATAGCCCCATGCAGGAAGTGGACTGGATTGGTTAATTGGGCTTGTGATGCATAAAAACCTGGCTTGTCTCGATCATATACTGTAAATAAAGATAGGCGACATGATCGCTCCTCCGAAGTGAAGCCAAATCATCTTGATCTCCCCCTGGTGGCTGACTAGTATAAGTCATAAATCCAGCCTCCTTTTATTAGATGGGACATGGGCCAAACTAAATGGGTAATCATACCCATTACTTCTTCTCAAATATATGTTTTAGGTAGTTCTAATCTCATAGTATGTGGAAGAGTAGATTTTTCCATTTAAAGTGTTTTCAATTTGTGATTTGACAAAAATGGGATTAATGTCATCATTTGAGGCTGACTCTGGTTGAGCATGTGTATGTGCGCCATCTTGATACTGCAGCTCCACATCTGCATTTTAGTACAGCAGGAGAAAAAGAGACACATCGTCCCTCTTTATTTGCAGTCTATGTTCCTAATGTGTTTGAACTCGCCGATGGTTCGCTGCCATTCCAAGATGCAAACACAGCGTTTATATTTTAGTCTGCATTTTGTTTCGTTTGTTTGATTGTTAGTTAGCAGGATTCTGCAAAAACTACTGAAAAGATTTACACAAAACTTTGTGGAAAGGTTCTTGAAAAAGGAAGGAATTTTTGTGAAACAGCCATTTTAGGAAATTTTTACCAGATTTCCAGGGAATAATCATAAGTGTGTGCAATTTATTGCAGCTTAATTGAATTGAAGTGCTCTGTTGGGCTTGGAGGTGATATGTGCTGAGTGCCATTCTAGTTTGCGGCTGTCATTCCAAGGTGGAAACACTCAGCCATGGTGTGGTGCACTGTTTATTTCACTCATGATATGATAAAACCACCATATGGACATGTTAAAAAGTTTCCTGAATTCCACTGGAGGGGGTCTTTTAAACAAACGCACGTGCTTGTTTTAGCCAGAATACTCGATAACACTTTGTTTACATAGCGCCACAAAAGCCACAGTGAAAGAAGGTGTCGTGGCACAAAAATGTGTTTTTTCTATTTAGCCTGCGAAGCTTAAAACCACCATGATGCCTTCACTGTTCAGTGATGCCAACTGTTCACTTACTGATAGAAAAAAGTCAATTGAGTAAAAGAGCTGAGCTACAGCTCTGCTCGCAGATCGTGTCGCCATGTGTATGTAATACAAGAACACTGGATATGGACTCTTCATTTTCTTACTTTCGTGTTTTACTTAAGTTGCTTTCATTTTGGCAATTTAGCTTTAGGCTGAGTTGACTGTCACATGGATACTGCACTTCTTCACAATGTCGTAATGGAAAGTTGTGTAAAATCTAATTTGTGCCGAGTCCTTCCAGCGGGGTCTGCTGCAGAAAGTTTAAGGGAAAATTCACCTTGAAAAAAAAAAAAGAAATTCAGGTTTACGTCTTTGGGGGATTCTGTTCCCCTTGGTGCAGTGTTGTAATTGTTTTCCACAAGTTTCCACACAGGTACGGCAGCAGCTGAAGATGACATCCTTTCAAAACATCAGTCATCAGCGCGCTTCGCCTCAGCATGGCTCAAGAGGCTACGTCAGTTCTGCACAGCTCTACGGTTTCCTCACCGGCAGCAGTCACAATAGACCATAATGCAATGCAGCCACAAGACATGTTGAGTATTCTCATGAGCAGACGGTTGTGTCACAGGACCACAGGGGTTAGTCAGATATCTGGACAGGTCTGTGAAGTGAAAAGCAGAGCGTCACTCTGCGCTCGAGTTCAGGGGAGGTTTCTGGGTTAGAGTGTGAACATTTCCTCCAGGTTACTTTACAAACCTGCCATTTTCAACAGGCCGCAGCTCCATCTTGTTGCCACTTAAGAAAATTGATGTATTTTTCCCTTCAGGGTTTTAAATGTGCCCTTTGGTATTTTCACTCTGTTTCCTCGAAGTACATTTTCATCTGTTGTTTCAATGACATTTTTTTCTTTACTTGTGTCATGAGCCCCTTTCGTGCTCACGTGTGATTGGTGAATCATAATGCCATTGTACTACACCTGAACACACACAATAGAGTGTAAATATTACACTGCCAAAGATCAACTCCGATATCTGTGTTGCTTAGGAACCCATTTATTTGACCAAAGAGCAGCTTAAGAATTATATTGAGGGTCATCAACTCACAGGCACAGAAACCTATCAACATAACATTAGATAATATCTTCATAGTAGAGGCTGAATTACACATTAAGTGCAATCCTTCGAAATGCATTATGGTGTCTATTGATAATAGATACAAGGCAGAGAAAGTTATTTCTCTAACTTAATCCATTTTGCACAGTGTTCGTACGTCAAGGTCTCTTCTATGACTGCAGTAAAAGTGTGGTTATGACTGGAGCTTGTCCTGATATTGTTCAGATATACTGAAGGCCTTTGTCCAAACCTTTCAAGCCCGTGTCAGGCACTTGGAGTGGAAACAGAAGCAGGGCCTTGAGTGATTTGAGCGGGAATGCTGGCCCGACCAGACCGACCGACACGATCTCAGATCATCTTATACATGACATCAGAGGAATAACGAGAAGCATGAGACCTCTGTGAATTGCGTTAACTGCTTCCTGTCTGCCTCGCGGCTCAACCTACACACGTCTCCAGCTCCGCAGTGTTTGTTTTAAACATTTGATGCCACACGTGTTTGGTTTTTAAACTCAATCGTACAAAACCCCCTTGAGCCACAGAAAGTCAGTATTGCCCCGTTTTATTTGAGGCAGACACTAGGCTGTCATGTAAACCGCAGCACTTCATACATTATGGGCGACATATTTTAATTTCCATTCATCTGTCCATGATCTACATCACGTAGTCTTTTCATCACAATCACACAAACTGCTCAACCGATTTCCCTTGGATTTTGTGGAGGGGTGGCGGATGACCCAGAGAAGAACCCATTCAATTTCGGGGCAGATCCCGATCAGGAGGCTTTCCAGGAGCCTTTTTTACACTTTCTTTCACATTGTGAGTTAGCGTGTTTTATGTGGATGCACTGGTGAGACTTGAAACTAAATTAGGGAGCGTTTTGTACATAAAACAAATCCTAACATTTACAATTAAAAAAACTCTGAATGAGAAATGATGATAAATGTTCTATCTATCAATTTTTTATGAATAATACACTCCTTGATTTAGTTTCACACCCCACTAAAAATGAACTTGAATGGCACTAGAGCTCATACCTCCATCAAGGCCCAACAATCCCCACATGAAACCACATTTCAATTCACTAGATCTGGATTTTAAACTTCAAAACCTCACAGATATCAGCCCCAAACATTCCCGATTCTCCTCTACAAGACCCATGAAATATTCTCTGACAAAAAAATGAAAAAAAAGAGTGGGAAAATAAATATCCTGGACAGACAGATAGAGGGATGACTTTTGATCAGTCTGCTGCCACCTGTAAATGTTTCAGATAAAGTTTTAGCTGTGTGTGTGTTGACATGTAGATGAGATGAGCAGCAGTGTAAAGGACACATTCATCAGAGGGTCCTCTTCTCATTAGCTGGAGGCGGAAACAGCTCAAAATGCCACATACCACAATTAATGAGGCGTTCAGTGTTTGTGAGGAGCAGGAGAGCAGAGCTGCTGGAGGCTGACAGCTGAGAACACACCATGATGTGTATATACTGTGTTGAAATGACCTGAGAGTTAAAAAGGGCTATAAACCTGAAAGTAAACCTGAGATATAAACCTGAGAGTAAACCTGAGATATAAACCTGAGAGTAAACCTGAGATATAAACCTGAGAGTAAACCTGAAAGTAAACCTGAAAGTAAACCTGAGAGTAAACCTGAGAGTAAACCTGAGAGTAAACCTGAGATATAAACCTGAGAGTAAACCTGAGAGTAAACCTGAGATATAAACCTGAGAGTAAACCTGAGATATAAACCTGAGAGTAAACCTGAGAGTAAACCTGAGAGTAAACCTGAGATATAAACCTGTGAGTGAACCTGAGATATAAACTTGAGAGTAAACTTGAGATATAAACCTGACAGTAAACCTGTGAGTAAACCACCTAAGATATAAACCTGACAGTAAACCTGACAGTAAACCTGACAGTAAACCTGTGAGTAAACCTGTGAATCATCTCGACCGTCGCCATCAACACGTCCCGTCTCGCTCGCGCAGGTTATCTCTGCAGCACAGGTCCACGCGCGCGCCCTGCTCAGCCAATCAGCGCGCGGGCGGCGTGTTCTCAATTCACAAGTTCCACTAAACATGGAGGCGTGCAGATACATGAGCGAGCGTCATTTAAAGAGCCGTGCATATCAGCAGGACACACACACACACACACCTCTCCACGTTCGGCTCAGCACTGCACACTGAGACCCGCGGAC